CCTCCCAGGCCCGGGCGGCTCGCCAGCCCGTCGGCCCGGGTCCCGCCGATTCCAGCTGCGTCCCGCCCTTGCCGCCCATCCATCTGCCACCCCGCGCCCCTGCTTTGGTCCCCGAGGTGGGATTCAGTGGGGAGCGGAGCGACGGACGTCCTGGAAGGAGAGAGGAGGAGGTGGAAGCCGAGGCAAGGGGGTCGGGGGCAGAGGGAAAAGGAGCGGGGAGAGTGAGCACGTCTTGGGGACCAGGGGGTGAAGATCCCCGGGGAAAGAATAAGGAATTGCCGAGAGAGGGTAAGTTTAGCTTAGCCGAGGAGGGGAGGACCTGAGTAATCAAAGGGATAATCCTGGGTTTGCTGGAGGGCAAGTAAGAGAAAGTCCCGTCCAGGGTTAACCACTTAATATTTCGGTATTCGCTGCTGTCGATTTTCAGAAACCATTGTACACAGCGATACCTCTACCCGGCCGGGAACACGGTTCACCTCGTCCAGCGCATCTCTCTCACCCTTTCATCGAGTCTGGGGAGATCTGGTTCCTGACGGCAGGAGTCAGCACCTTCAGGCTTGCCTCCTTCTGCCTGGTTTTTGTTTGATTTGGTTTGGTCTTGAGGCGACAAATTCTGCCATCAGCAAATAGGTCAGGGTTGAAGCATCATTTGGGAGTTAGATTTTAATTTGATATCCTCGTTTCCTGCTCTTTCAAGTTCTGACCATAGTCACGTTTATCAAAAGGTGTTTTTGTCTCTACCTTTGACCACATCACTCCTGTCTTCAGAATGCTAATTACTCCGTGTGGCAACTGCAAATTACCTTCTATATTTATTCATTTATTTATATTCTGCCATGTTTCAAAAAAGTTCTAAGGTGGCTTATAAAATACAAATAATGCAAAAAATAAGAGAGGATATCAGATAAAAAAAATATGGGTAAGAAGAATACTACAAATATGTACTATTTACTTTGGATTTGGAGGCTCCACACAAGCTGCTTATATTAATTCTCTCTCTTCGAGTCATATTTCAGCCTGTTTTTTCCTGCTCCTATTTTCTCTTGCCATTCCTTTTCCCATAATTTTTCCAGAGTTGCCACCATGCATCAAAACTGTGCTCTCCCAATGATTCGGGCATATTTGACTAATTCTGGAAAGCAACCTTCCACCGGATCTGTTTACCAGGGAGTTCAGGGAGGTGCTTGAGAAGGGACTCATCCCAAGGAGAGAGGGGACTGAAGTCTACAGGTTTAGTCAATGACAACAGACCACCATCAAAGTAGAGCAATGTTGAAACCTTGGGATAAGGCAAGAAATAAAAGAGCCTGTGAAGCCTTTAAAGAACTGAGGCATTGAGAGTATGAACTACCAGCTGCCATAGGGCTCCCTGGGCAGACATCAACTTCAGCAAACTAAGAATCGCATCCTTAGAACTGCATTTTTACAAGCACAGGGGCATGGCTACTGCTGCTGTTCTGGCCAGGAAGAGAAAGGGAATGTGGAGAGAGAGGAACAAAATGGTGGACATGGAGGCCAAGAAGAGTGGGTCTTGGTACCATGTGAGGCACAGGCATTTCAGGGGAGTTATATTACTGCAGAGTGATCAAAGGCAAACTTCCTGTTTTGTGACCCCACTTTTATCCCTAGCATAGAGGAGCCTGGAATACATGGTTACATCTGCTTCCTGGGGTTTGTTATATAAATCCCAAATTCACATCTGGAATCTGACCCCTGTTTACTGTTCTAGCTTTACCTTCCATCACTGCCATGTCACTCACCCACTTCCAACCAGACACATAAAACCTGCCTCTAGAATCCTCAAAAGAGAGCCCTGCTGTTTCCCATCACTGTGCCTTTTCAGATTGCTCACACTCTGCCACACTTGCCTTTTCTTCCCTCCATTCTTCGAAGTATTTTCTGATTCTTCTTCCCACATGTCCGTCAGATTGCATTGGCCCCTCCACAGTGGTACCCATGCCCGTGGGATGTTCTGTCCAGACCTCATGATGGCGCCCCTAACATTTCAGTGTCTGTCCATATGCTTGTTTTCCTCCAGAAGCCTTTTAAGTCAGGAACAGATTCTGGTTCCTTGTTCTAGCACATTGCATAGAATATGGATGAACATGCACTAGTGCTTAATAAATACTTGAAGGAAGAATAAATAGATGCATTTTCAGATCCTCCCGGAAGCATCCTCTTAACAAAGATGGGCTGTGGAGGAAAAGCTTGGCCCCCAGATATGATTGAATGTTCTGCTCTGCCCTGGTATTGAGGCAAAAATAGAAAAGGAGACCATACATGAATACACAAAAGAGAAAGCCTTAAATGGTCTTTATTCTTTCATAAAGTCAGAATGTTGAGTGTGAAGTTATTGCCCTTTGCTTGTCTGTAACTGGCATTGCAGCCAAAACACCCTGAGTGCTTAAGAACTATTAAAACTAATATAATCGTGTTGAGATTAGGTCAACAACCAGAACATCATTAGCATAATTCATCCTCAAGAGACCCATTCTGCCTTGACTTGAATTACCCCAGTAAATGAAGACAAAAGAGACAATTTTATCTAAGTGTGCTTTATAAGCTGCCTGAGTTCCCTAGATCAATACCATCTCCCCGCTCAGTTGCATAAAGTCACAGTTTCCCAACTGGGAAATTAATTACTGTACAACTGCTTGTCTTAAATCTGTAAGGAAAGCAGGAAGAAAGCACAGGTCCATTAAAAACTCAGGGTATAGAGCCGAGAAGAGAATGAAATCAGTGGCAAGAGGTTTCAAATTTACTTTTTTAACTATTGTTTTTGTAAAAATGATAGTTGCTCCTTATTTAAAGCAAAAGATCAGGAAATGCAAAAAATATGAATAAGAAAGTAAACTAAAAAAATCACCTGAAATTCCACCATCCAAAAATAACACTTGTGTGAATTCCAAGAACATCATTCCAGAACCTAGTGCCATTAAAACCTTGAAGGAAGAGCCTGTTGAATAAGAATTTGCAAAGAAACAGGTGAATTACTTTTGTAAAACTCCTCTTGAAATAAACAGAGTGACTCTAAACCTGCTGGTTACAATCACATTTTTTAGGTTTCTTCTCTACACATGTATCTAAAATAGAAACAAAATACAAAACTAGAGATTCAGTGAGGTCCTTCTTGAGTTCAGAACATTCAACCAAATGACTCATGCTTAAAAAATGAATCATTTTTTCACACTTTTCAATCAGGAATTCTAAATGTGATGTGTATTTTGAATCCTTACCCATTCTGATACACAGCTTGCCATCAGCCAGCGTGTCTGCATCCATGCTGGGCTTCCTTACCTTGGAACCCTCGCTGCTGTGGAAGGTTTATTTATATTTCCACGTTTGTCAACTGCAAGGGCGGAGGAGGATGGAAAAAAAGAAAGCTCAAGAGACCCTCACAAGCCAATGCAAAGTCCTTGGTATGAACCAGGATTATCTGAAATATGTTATTTCTTACTTAAATATGGGAGTATAATTTCCCGTCTACTTGTACCTAAGGTGCAACAATAAAACTAAATATTTATAAAGTTCCTGTCTTCTAGGGAGCTCAAAGAAAAATATTTATATAAGTGATCTCAGCAGTTCTCCAGCATTCAAATAGGGAAGCTGAAGCATTTCTCATTTCATCTGTTAACTAAGCCTCTTGTGTGGATAGGCTTAATTAAGTAGATGAAAGCTGGCCACTGGTTCAAGTTAATACTGTGAGTCAGTGGCAGAAAAGCCAAAAATAGAACTTTGGTTTCTTTCTTTCTTTTTTTTTTTTTGACTACATACTTTCCTTAGCTCTCACCTCATATCCACTAAAAAAAAAGTAATTTTTAAAGCTACCAGGTCATCATCATGAAACTTTCAGCTGGGCTGATATTTTTCACATGAGCCAGATGCCATGATCCGCTATTAGCCCGATATTATACTCCCTATTTTAATAATGGATGATACCAATGATGATGGTGGCACAGACAAAGAAGTGCATTTATTTTTATTATTAAAAAACTGAAATGGGCTTAACTGAGTTCTTGAGGTTACTTTGAAAATATGTGCCAGTTGGCATTGAAAATCCCTCCATATGAAGATAACAATAAGCAAACCACTTTCTTTGTGCAAAACCTGCACTTCGGTATTATCTATACAACCGTGCTCTGAAATCAAACTGTTTCATCTAGAAAAAGTAATAAAATTTTCTTAGAGGAAAAAAATAATAATACCTTTTTTTCTTTTTATCACTAGTGACCATCTGTTAGAATTTCCATTTACAAGTAACTATGATGTGTATCAATACCGTGGTAGGGAAGAAATTGATTTATACCAGGACTCAGCCTATAGTATTGTAAAGCCTTTTTAAAACGTTGTTTGGGCATTGATGAGAGCAATAGACCCCGGAATTGTGCTCTTTATCAGAGTGATCTTTAGATGAAGAAAAATAACCATGTTCTCTAAATTTAGTTTCTATGGCAGTGAAGCAACTGAAGCTGTCAGTGATTATGGGAGGAGAAATGAGGGGTGATAAAATGTGCTGAGTTAGTCCTAGGAATATCCTAGGACTTGCCTTGAAAGGAACCTCAAGGACCCTGCAGTCCATACTCTCATCTTGCAGCTGAAGCTAGCAAGTCCTAGAGAGAAGTGAATTGTTATTCAAAGTTACAATGTTTTAATAGATACAAGCAGGAAAGGTGGTTGCCTGACAAAATTAACAATGTTTGGCTCTTCCCACATCCTGCTCTTAACAGTTTTCTTTTGGATGTCTCATGTTCACCACTGGCACTGGTTTACCAAATTTTAACTTCTGTGAACATGTTGGGAGAAAGAAGTCATTGTGAGTACAGTAATATCCTCCTTAGATATTACCCTTCTGGTTATACAGT